CAAAGCCTCACTCTGTGGCCCAGTCTAGAGTGCTGTGGTGTCAGACTAGCTCACAGCAACCTCAAACTCCTGGGTTCAAGCAATCCTCCTTTCTCAGCCTCCTGAGTAGCTGGGATTATAGGCACCCACCACAATGACCAGTTAATTTTTCTATTTTTAGTAGCAATGGGTTCTCACATTGCTTACCTGATTCTTTTTTGAAACACCAGCACAGAGCTTGGTACTTGACACTGAGTCGAAGCTTCATTAACATTTGCTGATTGGATATCATTCTTCTGGTGGGACTGGAAAGCTGTGGTCCACACAGCAGGCTGGAGGACTAGGGCAGGGCTCCAAATAGTCATGTTCATAAGAAGTTATGCTGTGCCTTTCTAAGCCCCAAAGAGGGCCCTGCTCAGGCATTTTGGTGTATGAAGTTCCAATGCCACTTATATCTGGAAGGACTGAGGAATGACCTTCACTTGGTGCAGTGGGGCACAGTGGAGGGTGACAGTCCCCAGACCTGGAGGAGTGTGTGGAAGGAAACCATTTTTCAGTGCCTTTCACCTCTACCATCCTGTCAGTCTTCAAGGACAAGGACCTTACTGGATTCACTTCTGTGTTCCCGACAGAACCCAGAACTCTCCCCAGCACATAACATTCCTCAATAAAAGATTGTTGAAATGAATCAAAGCCCAGTAGCCCAAGGTTACTGGCCCGCTGCCAGCTGCAAAAAGCTTGGCAAATCTCACCAGCAGCTCAGTCCCAGGGTAGTGCTATTGGAACTGGAGACACAGCCCTGGGGACACAGCTGAATGTCCTAACTCCTGTGTCCAGAAGTTTCCGGAAGCTCCACTCACAGTTCGCAGCATGAATAATTTAGGACAGGACTGGTGGTCAGATTTGGGAAGGACATTGAAGTCAGAGAAAAGGAAAGTGTTCAGATGCCCTCTAGTCAGGGCAGCTATGCCTTCATGCTTCCTTGGTAATTCAGCAGCCTCCAGCTGGCCCTGTCTACTGGGTCCCTGCCACAAATCTGACCCCTGTGGCAATTCAGTTTCACATCCAAGCCCCCCCCCCTTTCCTTTGCTTTCAGCTTGTCTTCTCCCTTGGTGTCCATGTTCCTCTCAGCAGGGAAGGGCCTTGGCACTCCTTTCTAAGTTGAAAATGATTCTTCAGCTTCATGCCTCCGTGCTTCCTAGCGTGCCTCCAGGAAATTTGTTTTTTATTTTTATTGTTAAAATGTATTTATGGCCAGGCGCCGTAGCTCACGCCTGTAATCCTAACACTCCAGGAGGCTGAGGTGGGTGGATTGTCTGAGCTCACGGGTTCAAGACCAGCCTGAGCAAGAGCAAGACCCCCTCTCTAAAAATAGGTGGGCATTGTGGTGGGTGCCTGTAGTCCCAGCTACTTGGGAGAATGAGGCAAAAGAATTGCTTGAGCCCAGGAGTTTGAGGTTGCTGTGAGCTATGATGCCACGCACTCTACAAAAGGTGACAAAGTGAGACTTTGTCAAAAAAAAAAAGCAATACTTTGTTAACGTTGATTATAGTTACTATGTTGTGCAATAGATGTCTTGAATTTATTCCTTCTATCTAATTGAAATTTGTATCTTTCGACTAGCATCTTCCCACTCCCCTTCCTCCACCCCTGCTCTTGGTAACCACTATTCTACTCTCTCCTTCTGTGAATTCAAAATTTTTAGATTTCACATACATGTGAGATCATATGGTATTTGCCTTTCTTTGCCTGGCTTACATCACTGAACATGTCTTCCAGGTTCATCCATGTTGTTGCAAATGACAGATTTCCCTTTCTTCCTTTTTTTTTTTTTTTTTTTGGAGACAGGGTCTTGCTCTGTTGCTCAGGCTGGAGTGCAGTGGCCTACCATACCTCATTGCATCCTCCTCCTCCCTGCCTCAAGCAATCCTCCCACCTCAGACTCTCAAGTAGCTGGAACTACAGGCATGGACCACAATGCCCACCTAATTTTTTTCTTTAGAGATCGGGTCTTATTATGTTGCCAGAATCTGGTTTCAAACTCCTGGACTCAAGTATCCAACTGCCTTAGCCTCTCAAAGTGCAGGGATTACAGGCACGAGCCACCATACCTGGTGGATTTCCTTCTTTTTTAAGGTTGAACACTATTTCATTGTCCATGAAAACTTTAGAATCAGGTTGCAGACTTGTCCTGGGCTGAGGCTTCTGTAGACTTCTGTGGTCTCACATAGGGACTTGCACTTCTGGCCCAGGTGCAGTTTAGGTTACAATTGTGAACACCTGACCTTTCTCTGAAAGTCTCAGAGGTACCTGTGGTCTAAGGAAGAGAAGCCGTGGTGAGTCATAGGAATCCTATGGGTGAGCCAGTGGAGAGTGGAGAGCATAGGATTTGGAGATAGACAGGTCAGGGTCTGAAACCTGGCTCCAACACTAGTTTGTTTGGGGGGCTTCAGTAAATCATTTAACCTTTCACAGTCTTTGTTTACTTATTTGTAGAATAAGGATACTAAAGATGTCTTTGCACAGAGTTTTGGGGAAGATTTCATGAGATAACATGTACAAAATGTCCAGGTAATTGCCAAGCACTTAGTTGGAGTTTAGTAAATGGTAGTTCCTTTCCCTTATTTAATATAGGAGAGTACATGCAAACACAGAAAGCTACCAGGTTTCAGTGGGTGGAAAGCATCCCTTCCCATTCCCATTATCCTTGTTCTGGTTCAGAACTTCAGAACATTTGGCTAGGACTCTTACAGTAGTCTCCCAGCATAACTATCCACACTCATTTTGTACTTGTACTTGGGTTACCCTTACTCTATTACTTGAACACCCTCCTTGGCTGCTCATAAGCATAAAATTTAGGTCAAATTTCTCAGCTTGAAGTTCAAGAGCCCTTGTTAATTGCTCCAACACACATTTATTTTCCACTATTATGGTGACAAAGAACATAGGTTGTGGAATCTGAAGACAGGGCTCCAGTCCTGAAATTGCTCACTTTCTCCCTAGATAATTTATTTATTTACTTTTTTTTTATTAAATCATAACTTTGTACATTGATGCATTTATGGGGTTCAGTACTGCTTTGATATACAATGTGAAATGCTTACATTGAAATAAATAGCACATCCATCACAATTATACTCATTTCTTAATGGTGTTGAAATGTACCATTGCATCATGCACATTAGGTGAGGTCCCCCCAGATACCCTTCCTCCTCCCATGTCTCCTCTTCCCTTCTACTTTATGGACTATAGTTATGTTTTGCCATTTGTATGAGTGTACAGATGGTTATATATTGATTTCATAGTAGTATTGAGTACATTGTATACTTTTCCCCTCATTCTTGAGATACTTTACTAAGAATATGTTCCAGTTCCATCTAGGTAAACATAAAAGATGTGAAGTCTGCATCTTTTTATGGCTGCATAGTATTCCATGGTGTACATATACCACAATTTGTTAGTCCATTCATGGGTAGATGGGCACTTGGGCTGTTTCCATGTCTTGGCTATTATGAATTGGGCTGCAATAAGCATTCTGGTGCAAATGTCTTTGTTATAAAATAATTTTTGATCATCTGGGTATATACTTAGTAGAGGAATTGCAGGATCGAACAGTAGGTCCACTTTTAGTTCCTTGAGTATTCTCCAGACTTCTTTCCAAAACGGTCGTATAGCTTGTGTTCTTACCAGCAGTGTAGAAATGTTCCCTTCTCTCCGCGACCACGCCAACATCTGTAGTTTTATCTCTCTAGATAATTTAGAGTAAATCATCTAATGTCAGTTTTACATCTATAAGTTAGAGATCATAATGCTGCCTCCTGGTATGCATTATAATTTACGACTGTCTATCTTTCCTACTGGACTGTAAGCCAAATGGAATCAATGGGCAGGGAGCAGATGTATCCCGTTCATCACGGTATATTCAGTATCCAGCACGGGTCCTGGCATGGTGGATGTTCAGTACATCATGTTCGTTGAATAAGTGAATGAACAAATTCATTTATTCATTTATTAATCTACAGATTAGATATTGCATGATCCAGGTAAAGCACTTTGCACAGTACCCAGGCATGCCCATATAATAGCTGTTGCGATGCAAGTTATTAGTGGAATAACTTTAGACAAATTCTGTCCCTCTGAGGACAGAGTCTCTTATTTCTCCTAGCAGATAATCGAAGGCACTCTGGCTCATTTCTGTAAGACTAGGCCCTGCATGCTAAAGGAACTCAATACGTGCTTTCTCGAGAAATGGATGAAGCTTCCCCACGGCTGTACCTGGGGCTGGAGCTGTCTAAACAAGAATCTTGAGTTCCCTCCTCAAGTCTGGTTCCCTACTGCCCTTCACCCCGCAGAGAAGATGGGCCTCCTAGCGTTCCCGCCTACATTCAGTTCCCGAAGCCCGGCGGGTAGGTGGACCCGCAGGGCGTTCTCTGGGAGCTGGAGCAGCCCAAAGGGCGGGGACGGAATGTGGGTTTAGAAAAAGCGGCCAAAAGATGGGTGGGCAGAGGAATGGGTTGTTTGAGGACCCAGGCCTGGGCTGAGAGGCAGCTGGCAGCTTGGGAGAGCGACTCGGGGACCGGCGGTGAGGAGCTCCAAAGGGGTGGGCCAGGTTACCGGGTCCAGGGTCAGCGAACTGCCGCGGGGCCGGGGTGGAGAGGTCGCCGAGCGGAGGATGGGGAATGTGGAGGTGTGGTTGGCCCGGGGTGGGGGGACATAGGCGGCCGCTTGGGAGGAGTTGCGGGAGAGGATGAGGGGGAGGAACCCAGAGGGAGGGCCCGGGGGCAGCAGGAGGACAGGGGGTCATTGCGGAGGGGCGCAGGGCCGCGGACAGGCTGGGACGGGCGGGGAGCCTGGCTGCACTGGGTCGGGTGTGGGCGAGGGGAGCACGCATTGGGGGGCGGGGGGCGGTGTCGGCGCTGGGGGTGGGGGAGCTAGTTGGGCGGCTGCGCCGGCACCGCTTCAGCCGCTGCCGCTAGGGCGCGGGGGGCGGGGGGCTCGGCGCCGCGAGCTCGGCCATTGTGGGAGCCGCTCCCCTCGGCTCTGCCGCGCTCCCCTCGACTGCGCTCGAGCCCCAGGCGCGCGCGGCCGCCGCCGCCGCCTTTGCTGCTGCCACCGACCACTCTTCCTTCTCCTCGGCTCCCAGGGTAAGGCGCGGGCCGCGGGGCTGAATGCGGGTTACCCGCCCGAGTGCGCGCGGTGCGCGACGGCGGCTGGGGCGCGGTGATTGATTGAGCCGGGCGGCCGCACCTCGGCCCAGGGCAGCCGGCTGCAGCGGGTAGGCTGGTTGACAGGCTCACTTAGCGGCCGCCGGGGCCTCACACCTGCATCCCCCACGGCCAGTGCCCTGGAGCAGCGAGCCCGCGGAACTGGGGTTTCCCCGGGCGGGAGGTGCTAGGGCCAGAGAGGCGTGTTCCCGGGGAAAATAGAGCACCAAGCCCTACCCGGGCCGGGCGAGACATCTACGGGAACGGCAGGGCCGGGCGGGGATGATCGCTTCCCAGCCCCAGGGCTCGGCCGCTGGCCCCAGCGCCCTGTAGGTCCTCGGTCGCGCGTCCCCGCTCTTTGTCAGCCACGCGCGGCGGGCACGCGGACCCACCCGTGCCTCCCCAGGCTCGCGGGCGCCCTTCCTCCCACCGTGGCGAAGGAGGTAGGGGAGGTGGGGAGGGCCGCCGTAGGGGGAGCACCTGGTGAGGTGTCCGTCGCCGACCGCCTGCGGCCTTTGGGGTGGATGTGGGGTGCGGGCGTGCTCTCAGGTCAGACGCGGTCATTGATGGAGTGACCTGGCTGACACAGGGGTGGGGCTGGAACCCCCAAGTCAAACAGGTGTTTGTGAGGGGCGGGAGACTGACCCTGGTAGAACTGAGGAGGGACGGGTTTTTGGGAGGAGGCTTTGGACAAGCATGCCTTTGTAGTAAAATTGGAGCGGGAATGGGCGGTTCTGGGATGAAGCAGGTGGTCTGTGGAGAGGAGGGGCGTTTTCCTGTCCTGGGCTGAGGGTAGGGATGGAAGCTTGGCCTGAGTTTCCCAAAGGCTGGGCTATCACTTCAGTACCTGTCCTGGGCATAAGAGCTGGGAGGTGGGAGCCAGAAGGTAACGGGGGGAGGAGGGAAGCTGCCGGGATAAAGGGCAAGGCTGTGCCAGGACTCGGTCTTTTCCTTTCTGCCTTCTGTGGCTGTATCCCTCCTTGGTGTTCTCCGGGAAGAGGGCCCACGTGCACAGAGGGTGCCCCAGCAAGGGGCACGTTCTGTCTTCCCTAGCTATCTAGCGCCTCTTGCACCGTTTGATGTTTCTTTTGTTATCTCTTTGAATTCTGTGCCTACTGTGGGAATCTGCCAGTAACCCAGGAGGCTGTCTCTGCCCCTTACTGCCTCTAGTCTGAGATTCCAGAATCCAGGAGGAGCTGTGGCCAGATGTCTAGCCATTTAGGCTGCCTTCTCTCTCCACACAGCCCTGTGTGCAGGTGTTCCCTATAAGGGAAATTCAACAGCCCTTGTCCTCCCTAGACTCCAGAGTCAAAGTGAGAGCTGATTTACTTGGGCTGGATTTTGGGCTTGTGGGAAGGCTGTAGCTGAAGGCATGCACCATCTCGGCCCTGATGGAGCCCTTGGGGTGGTGGGCCATGTGTAGCAGATGGTTCTGGCAAGTGAGCTTGGCCTGGCTGAGGGAAGGCTGCCCACTCTGGCTGGTGGAGCCCAGCTGGCCCCAGAGCCATTGTATTTTTCACTCAACACTCTCCACTAGCTAAACTGACCTGAAAAATAGAATTTCCATCCCATCCTCACCTCCCACGCTGAGACACTTATTCCCAAACAGCCCTTGGAATAAGCAAATGACTGACCATTTTATCTAATGCCTGCTGTGTGCCATGCATGACATCAGCCAGTTTTACATTTGCGCTTTACTATATTCTTAAAACATCCTCTAAAATGTAGCATTTCTCCCATTTTTCACCTGAAGAAACTGAGTCTCAGAGAGGTGAAGTGACTTGCTCCAGTCACGCTTACTGATTGTTAAGTGGCCAAAACCAGAATTTTTATACCCAGATCTGTTTTACAGTCCAGTACATTTCCTGATGTGTCTTCTGTAGGCAGAGAGGGAGAATAGGCAAGGAATTTCTGCCTATTCTAGCCTGTGCTTTGACTCATGTGTCCTGTTGAGACTGTGCTTTAGCTTTTGAAAATACTTCCCATCTGTTGCCCCATTTTATCCTTATAGCATTCCTGGGAGGTAAGAACAAGAATGTAATAATAGATACTGCTTATTGAGTGCTGACTGGGCACTAGGCATGAATAAGTGCTTCACATGCAGGATGTCGCTGAGTCCTTGCAAACAACCTTGTATGTTGTTTAGGTGCTATATCATGATTCCCATTTTGTATATCAGGATGCTGAGGCTCAAAGAGGTTACGTGGCGTCTCCAGGGTCTCATAGCTAGTAAATGGTGTAGTAGAATTTGAACCCACATCTTTCTATCTTGCGGGACCTGTGAGCTTAGTTTTCCAAATGTACCCCATAACAATAAAAACTGCAAAATAAATAAATAAATAACAGTGGTTACTTGTAATGGGAGCTAACTTTTACAGTGTTTTAAGTTTTATAGACACCTTCATGTGTGTGATCTCATGATTTTCCCCAAATTTTGTGAATTAGTTTTCTCATGTATTATCTTCATCCCATTTTCCAGATGGAAAAACTGAGGTTCAGATAGGTGAAAAAGTCTGGTCAGTGGCATAACTAGGACTAGAACCTCTCTTGCCAAGTCCCAGTTTTTCTCATGTGACCCCTCCTGTCTGTTCACATTCACCCTTCTCTCCTCCAGATCCCTTCTCCCTGGAGGCCCACCTGCTGCAGCCCCTACCTGGGCCATGTCTTCCTCGGATGAAGAGACGCTCAGTGAGCGGTCATGTCGGAGTGAGCGGTCATGTCGAAGCGAACGGTCTTACAGGAGCGAGAGGTCTGGGAGCCTGTCTCCCTGCCCCCCAGGGGACACTTTGCCCTGGAACCTGCCCCTGCATGAGCAGAAAAAGCGGAAAAGCCAGGATTCAGTGCTGGACCCTGCAGAGCGTGCTGTGGTCAGAGTTGCTGGTAAGAGAGATCCCCCAGTGAGCAGCTGGATGCTGTGGGTGGGAGAGAGGAATGGGCCACTGGCTGGGTGGGGGGCAGACATGTCCTCCTCAGGGCTCTCTGACAAGCCAACTGGAATATAGTTTATTATTATTACTGCTAAAAAGATGATGAAATAAGATTGGAGAAAAACTTGGAAGAGGAAAATCTTCTACCCCTTTGCTAACATGAGAACTGTTTTCATTTCTGCATCACCTTCCCAGGGTCTGTCTCTGTTCAGTTATATTTTCTAAGCAGTTGCCTTCATGGTTTATGTGCCATTCTGGATCTTGTCGGTTACTCTTACATCAAAAAGATTTTTTGTATTATAGTTGCCATTTTAAAATGTTGTATAATATTTTTCAATTTTCTATATCCTACTCTTTTTTTCACCATAGTAGACAATGCTGTTGTAAACATATTTAAGAATAATAATTTTTTTACATCTGTTGAGTTCTTTCTTTCTCTTTTTTAAATTCACATATTTATTTATTTATTTTGCAGTTTTTGGCTAGGGCCGGGTTTGAACCCACCACCTCCGGTATATGAGACGGCGCCCTACTCCTTTGAGCCACAGGCGCTGCCCGAGTTATTTCATTATAACAAAGTTATAGTTCAGGTTTACTCGCATTACCTTCCAAAGGTGTTGTAGGCATTTACCTTAAACACGATGTGAGACCTGGGGGCTGCCTCCACCTGTGGTGGGAGGTCCCAGTTCTTTGACAAGCCCAGTGCAGTGCAGTGGCTGTGAGTGTAGGTTTTGGAGTCAGAGAGACAAGGTGTTAGGTTGTGGCCCTGCCACTGACCATCTATGTGACACTGAGCAAGTCCCTTCCTCCACCTGAGCCTCACTTTCCTTATCTTCAGAATGTCCCCTGTGCAGGCTTGCCTTGAGGGTTAGATGCAGTAATGTTCGCAAAGCCCTCAGCACAGTTTTTGGCTCTGTAAAGGCGATACTTCCACCGAAGGCATTCAAAGCTGCCTCCCTGGGGTGTGCTCAGCAGGGTTCGGTGCCAGAGTGCAGACAGATAGACAGAGGAGTGCCTGCAGCTAATTCAGTGACATCACTCGCTTTCCAGCTATCACCAAGGCCTGTCCTGCCCCCTCCACTTTGTCATCTGTCACCTGGACCTCCAACAACTATCTAATAGTTCTCCCTTTCTTAGTCTTGCCCCCCCATCCTCCACATGACTCACAGAGTATTTTAGGTCTAAAATGCAAACCTAATCCTATTACTCAGCTGCTTATAACCCATCTTTGGCTCTTCATTGCCTGTGGAATAAAGGCTTTAACATAAAGACCCATCAAAATTAGCCCCAACTTACCTCTTCAGCTTCACCTGCTGCCACCTCTGCCCTCAAGCACCCTGCTACATTGCACTATAATTTGGCCCCATGCACCCTGCTGGGTCAAACGTCCATGCTTTTCGTTTTCTCCTCTGCAAGATGCCAATAGCCTCCCCCCTTCTCTATTAAGTGCCGCCTCCACGATGTCCCTAATGCCCTCAGTGGTATCCAAAGCTGCCTCCTCCACTCTCGCATTCACACCTTTCTCCCTTCCTTGTTCCCTGGTACAGTACAGCAGTGAACCCACAGGGTACCCATCACTCCCCCAGAACTGGGAACAATTTGGGACTATGTCTTATGTTTTTACCCTAATGATTTGTACAGGCCTTGTGCATGCTAGAGATCAGCCAGTATTGAATGACTGAATGAATGCAAGCAAGGGTGCCTTGAGGATAATACGTGACAGATTGGGATCTGGGAACAAGCAGTGGGTTGTAATGGTAAGTTAGACAGGGATAGAGTTATGTGGGCTCCAGTAGTTGGGAAAGGATTTTAGCGGGAGGGAGCTCCAAGTGAAGAGTCAGCAGGCATGAGAGTTTGAACTCCTTCTTTATGGGTTGTAGGGAGCCCTTGGAGGAAATCCTTCTCAAGACCTTTGGGCCTGCAGCATCAGCCAGTGGCAGAGTTTTCAGAGCTGCCCCTAGGAAACAGGAAGGGCTTTACTTGTCCCCAGCCATGAAGACCCATGATTCAGGGCTCTTTGAAAGCAGAGTGGGTGTCTCATTCTCTCTTCCTTATTCTCTGTCTCCATCCTTCATCACTCATGCATACCTCTAGATCGCTTTGTGATGATTTCCAGCCTTCTCTGAGGAGGCCCAGGAGATGATTTGCCTGCTTTTTAAGGTTCTGAGTCTAGAATAGAAGCAGAGTGGACTCAAGGAGGCTTAATCTATAGGCAAAGCCCCTGGGTCAACTGAGCAAAGGGATGGCCTGTGCTGTGCTCTGTTTCTGTCATCCGTGCTGATCTACTTTGCATCCTGACAGTGCTGACTGCCTGTTTTGAGGAGGGGGCTGGGCCAGTGAGGCTGAAAATGGGGAGACTGCCATGGTTAAAAATAACTTGTGCTCTGCAGTTGGGCGTGTTTCTTTAGCAGGAGAGAAGAGAGGCAGCAGAGACGAGGCGGGACTGCAACTTTAGGGTCTGGCTGGAATCTTCATGTGATTTTAGAATGTTGTGGGGGCTCTGCCAGAAGAATGAAAAAGGCAGCCTTAGCTCTGCGGGGACTCCTTCATATGACGTTCAGGAGGGCCGTGGGGTGGGGGGGGCCTGGATGTTCTGAAGCTCTCTGAAGCAGACTTTTCATTCTGGGAGGAAATGAAATCAGTCTTAGACTGGAAGCCAGCTGTGCAATTTTCTCCTCCCTCTGGGCCTTGGCTTATGAGGCCAAGTGGGGGTGTCTGAATCAGTCTCACCAAACGGAGATCTCCCCTTTCCCTGGCCCCGTTCCCTGTCCTGAGCTAGTCTCAGGGTCTTGCCCTTACTTGAGAGGCCTCACAGGGGAACCCTGCTGGTCACACATGTCAGAGTAAAGAGGCGTGTCAAGGCTAAGAAACCTGGTGATCTCAGCCGACAAAGTCAAAGCAGGTTATAGGGACTCTATACAGGCTGGAACATGATTTTTCCTTCCATCTCCCTATCCTCCTCCTTTCCCTTCATTTTTTTTTCTCCCTCCTCTTTTGCCAGCCCTATTCCCAACTCCTTAAGCCCGGCTACACTGAAATGCAAAAATAGTTACTAATGAGAGTGCCTTATTTCTGTTTATCAGCTTTATGGTTTATACAGAGATTTCATAATAATTCTTTGTGATAGGCATGACACATGTCAGCATCTGAGGCTCAGAGGGTTTAAGGGATTTCCCTGTGGTCACACAGGACTGGAAGACACAGACCTTCTAACTCCGAGTACATTGCTATTTGTTTCCTTAGGCAATACCTGGCAGCCAGGCCAGTCTGAATCTTCTGCAGGTGATTATCTAAGTAGCTGACTTGGTGTTCAGACTCACCTGAGAGACCTTTTAGTCACTTCTGGGAGAGTCCTCAAGATTCTGATCTATAGGAGAAGGAGAGGGCAGAGACAAAGATCTAGGAAACTTTGCCTTTTCCCCTCTGGCTCTCTGTCTTTAGTGAAGAGCAGTAGTAATATCCTTTCTTTTTGGTGAGAGGCAATAAGGAAGAGGGAAGCTAGGGAGGTTACTTTAGTAAGGTGTGCAGTCCCAAAGGATAGAGAAGGAGAGAGGAAAAAGAGTGGTTAAAAGGCTCGGCGCCTGTGGCTCAAGTGGCTAAGGCGCCAGCCCATACACCTGAGCTGGCGGGTTCAAATCCAGCCTGGGCCCGCCAAACAACATTGATGGCTGCAACAACAACAACAAAAAAAATAGACAGCCGTTGTGGCGGCCGTCTGTGGTCACAGCTACTTGGGAGGCGGAGGCAGGAGACTCGCTTGAGCGAGTGGTTAAAAACAAACAAGGGGGCTCGCCTATAGCTAAGGCGCCAGCCACGTACACCTAAGGTGGTGGGTTCGAATCCCCAGCCCAGACCCGCCAAACAACAATGACGGCTGCAACCAAAAAATAGCCGGGCGTTGTGGCGGGCGCCTGTGGTCCCAGCTACTTGGGAGGCGGAGGCAGGAGACTCGCTTGAGCCCAGGAGTTGGAGGTTGCTGTGAGCTGTAATGCCACGGCACTCTACCCAGGGGGACAGCTTGAGGCTCTGTCTCAAAAAAAAAAAAAAAAAAAAGGGCAGCGCCTGTGGCTCAAAAGGGTAGGGCACCAATCCCATATCCCAGAGGTGGCGGTTTCAAACCCAGCCCCGGCCAAAACCTTAAAACAAACAAAACAGTGTAGTACAACACTAGGGGGCGCCAGTCACGTTAGTCGTCATTGTAGATTTGCATATTTATTATGACAAGTTTCCTGCAGTTGGTAGTAAAGTGTCTTGAAGAAAGGCTCATGTTCTGGCTAGGGCAGAGTTAGGTGCAAGAGGCACTCACCAGCCACCCATTCATTTATCCAACATCACATATTCAGGACACTTCCTGTTTTTAGCATTGATGTTCAAAGATGAAAGAAGACGTGGTCTCTTCTTCATGGAACTCAATCTAGTTGAGAGTATAGAAGGAAAAAGATAATTACACCCCTGTGTGTATTGTACAAAAGGGGAGCTCAGTTACTAAAGGCTAATGTTGGTCTCCTAGTTAACCTGCAGAAAGCATTTGTGGCATTCATCATCAAGAGCCCCTCACCATGTGCGGCTGAAACGATCATTCCCAACTTCTGCTCCATCATGGCCTCCTCCTGGAAGCCTTCCTTGATCTCCTCAGTCAGACAGCAGCTGTATCTCTACCCAGCGTTTGTTTCACTTGGTCTTATATTCAAGTTCATTGTTCATTTTCCCCCTAAATGTGGAGCTTGTAATCAGGAGTCCAACTGTTCCCTTTCTGCCTGGAGCACACAGCTCTGAGGGCATGGTGTCTGCTCAGAGGAGGGAGCCTACTCTTCTGTACCCCCATATCTCTCCTCTATACCCCTGTATCTCTCCTCTGTGATGCAAGTTCTGGGAAGACATCCCACAGGAACCTCTCTGCTTATTCATTTATTCATTCATTCAGTAAAAAAATAGATATAGCCCCCGCTATGT